CCTTGTCCTTTCACAATTTATATGTTTTTAAGTCTCAGAATAGTCCTCATGCATAAAAAAAGAAAATGCAAAAATATGTGCATGGTTGGGCAAGGGGAGGGGGCAGTATATCTCTCAGCTTGAATTCCACTGTAACTTCAGTTCACTTTGTTCATTAATGCACAGTAGTTACTGCACATTTAGTTTAGTACTTGATTAATGAAGTACTAACTAAATGTGCAGTAACTACAGTTACTTCGTAGTAGCACTGGCTCATGGTTTTTTTGTGATGCATACTGTGCAGTAGCATATTAGCATAGTTTGTACTCGGCAAGCTACTGCACAGTTTTAATAGGCTACTGTGCATTAAGCATCTCGTGTAGACACACCCTTTGACTCCAAAAGTTAGGCCCCTCTGGCTTGTAATTCCTACAACACTAATCAGCAAAGCTCCTTACGTCTTCCACAAGATCAGAACTTCCACAACCTTGATTGTATGGAAACACTGGATAGCCTCCGAGATCTTAAAAATATCTGTGTTAACCTATATGAGAAAGTGTACACAGAACTTGTGTGTGAAGCGATGAAAAGTTCGATGTCTATGCTGCAGGAAAAACCCTCCACACTTATACAGCTCCTGTAAAAACAACCCCACACTCCTCCAAAACTCTGCTAGGCTGCAGAAAGTCACTGCCATACCCCACCCAATCAGAGTTCCCAGTGCATACTTTCTATAGTCATTGATATAAATGAGAATGCAGGAGATCTCCCTAGATTGACAATTCAGCCCCCTTTGAAAGCAACTGGAGCTGTTCTTTGATAACAGTAGGCTTTGAATAAGGTCCAGAGAGGCAGATCTACCCTCTCCCATTGACAAGCAGGGCCTTCTCCCTCTGAGTGCCTTCTGGGTTATAGAGCAACACAAATTCTCTGGGCAATGTTTATAATTGGGTTGCAGCCAGAATTTGAGCAAAAAGATTTCCTGCAGGTGAGTAGCTTAGTTGGTTGATTCACATTGCTAGTGAGTTGTTGGCAGCACCACCCCTGGGACTTAGCATCCAGAGTTTACTGTGGAGTGTGATGACCAGCAGATTAATCAAGGCTGAGCATTTCACAGATACGAACCTCTTGGTAATTTACTGCCTGATTTCATCAAGGGGAAGAGCTAAAGCCTTCTTCCATCATCCTTCCCTAAGTTTTCCATGCTGAGGTTTCTGTAACAGGAAGAATCAAGGAATAGCTTGTTCACTGATGGGATCCAACTACAGTAAGTGGCATGAACCAGGTCATAGTGCTTTTGGTTACAAGCATGGCAGCCCATCAGCAGGACTGGAACAGCTCCTGGCTGATCCTGTCATGGTAGACCATGCAACACAGAGCAGTTTACAGTTTTTGTCATTACTGGAATTGGCACCTATACTCCCACACAGATGCTGCACCACTGGCCATTCTCAATGTTGTGCTCTACCTGTATACATCTAAAACTCCTGCTGTGGCAAACATGCAGTCTGAATTTTACACAGTTGCTCCCTTTTTTTTCCTTACTCTCTCCCTCCTTTTAGCTCCTACTGGGTTACCCAAACCCCTTCCCCATCTACTCACTTGCCGTTCCTTTCTCCATTGTTGTTTAGAGAACTTTTTTCACATTGAGGATCATAGACTTCCAAGCACTAGATAACAAACCTTGACTTAAAAAGGGAAACTAGGGCTATTCATAGGTTTTCTTGTCCTCTTGATGCTGATGTGGTTAATAATGTACTTTGCTTCCAGAGTCTAGAGTGAAATCTTGACACAAAGGAAAGAAAAAATCCTCCCCTGTGAATTGGGTTTCTGCAATGGCAGTCTGGAATGACATAATTCCTTGCTGCTCTAGGCCTGGTCCAACTTCCCACTGAAGTCAGGGTCAGTCTGTCTATTGACTGATATGAGAGCTAGATCAGCAGAGGGAAAACTCTTGTCTTTTTTATTCAATGAGAGAATACCAAAGAGGAGAGCTCAGTGAACCTGAAAGGTAAACTTAAGCTGGATACAAAGAATTGTTTTTACATGATGCATATGTTGCCAGAAACACTCTTTACGGGTTATGAGAAGACAGATAGGATGGAAATACATTTTTGTGAATAATAAAAATACAGTAGCTGAAGTTGCATAATAAAAAATAGATGAAATTTATAGTCCATTTTGATTCAAGGGAGAAGCTTGAAACCCAGGCCCTGAAAGGGATGTATGTGCCTAGCTCTCTGAATAACCATGAAAATTTGGGCCTAAGTGTCTCAGGAAAGAAAGAAATTCTCCCAGAGCTCCTTCCTACAGGGCTGCACGTTGCCTGTGCAGCAAAGGGTACTAGTCACCATCAGAGACAGAACACAGGATCAGTGGGACAACTGGTCTAACTTTGAGTGGTAATTTCTATGTTCTTCCACATGATACCCCAACCCCACCACCAGAGTGCTTACCCGGACCTCTGGATACTACAGTGAGGCCAGAAGTGCCAAGACAGACAGGGCATCTTTAGATGGCAAACTCTTACTCCTTCCTTCCTCCTGCCGCTGGCTGTGTTTCAAGTTCTGTGCCAGGAGGTCCTTGCCCCTGGCCACTGCTCCTTCTCTGAGCTGCCCATGCAGGTAGCTCCATTGGAGGAAAAGGGTGGGTCTCTGCAGCAACGGGCAATTGGGTGAAGCTGCCAGATATGGGAAGGGCTCTCCTCTGGGACTCGGGCTGGTACTAGCAGTCTGCACGAAACAGACTGAACTGCAAGGCTCTTACCATGTGGTTTACAGTGTGCTACTGAGCTTCTGCTTGGTGTATTATAGATATTCACAGGAACACCTGAACAGCCACCCTGCTCAAGGGTGTTTGCACTTGATTCCTTTGACTGCTCTGCTTCCTGAGAGAGGCTTGCTACAGCAGCTGTCCTCTGGGCACAGGGGTGGCAGGGATTACTGAGAAACCCCCTTTTGGGGGTATATCACAACAACGCACATGCTGCATTTGTCTCTCTTCTTTCTACTTCACTAGCCATGGACAACATTCTGCTTGTTGTGATCCCTAGATAACCCCTATCAAAGCCTACAGAGAGCAGGATTTGGCTTATAGTCTGCTTTACTGCATTGCTAAATTCCTTCTGAACCTTTCTCTTAATCTCCTCAAAGTCAAGCTAGCAATTATTTTCTCAGGTTCCTCTTACTGGAAAAAAAAAATCATAGAATTGGACATATGATAGTTAATGTAAATGAGCTGTTGCTTGAAATAGCTGATAACAGATGGAGACAAAAGACGGCAACTATCCCAAGTGCTTCTATCTTTAAATGTTTGTTTATGCTAAAAATATGCTGCAGCTCAGTGTGTTCCCCTCTGCACATAACCATCACTGTAAATTTAACCTATGCTGCAGAAAACTCTTAGCTCAGTGCTTCGCAGAGGCTTGATCTGGCAAACTGCTACTGAAGACAACAGAGTAAAATCTGCAGGGCATCATCAAAAGAAATTTTTTTAGCTTCCCACTTCTTGTCTTTTCTAACACTTTGATACAAATTAAAGGTAAGGCCCTGCCTGCTCAGGTTAGCATCAGTAGCAGCACTCCCATGCATGTGGAAGTACGAATGGCCTCAGATCAGGACTAAGTGTGTGTGTTGAAAAAAAATGTTGTTTGGTGATGCGTGCATGTAAAAATAGTAATGCAGGTTATACTGTTATTCAATCTTACCCATTCTTATGTGTATGTATACACATCACAGGCTCAATTTTCCCATATTGGTGCTTCTCTTCATGCTCGAACTCCTTACGTCTACCGAGTCCCCGAAGAAGCAAAACTGTTTTTTCTAGCACTGAACATAATGTATGGAATTCTTCCCCAACTGTTGGCTTACAGGTGTGTCAACAAACCAGAGTTTTTCATGAAAACAAAACGAGAAGAAAAAACTGAATAGAAAAACTGCTTCCAATTTTCCTTTTTGGCTCTGTACATATTTAGTTTTGGATGCAACTGGACTACTCCTATGGCAGCCAAATTAAATGTAGTTTGTCAAGAAATGTATGCAACTGCATAGTCTGCTTCATTTATCCTTAAAGAAAAAAAGGGCAATAAAGACAACTGCCTTCAATAACACTTCTCAACCTTTTGATTTTTCACTGCAACTGAGTTAATGGTTTCTAAAGCTATTCTTGAGAGAGGTGCTTTGGCAATTTTATTGATGCTGCGTGGAGTTAAAGAAGAATTACCTCAGTGTTCCACACAGACTGAATTATTTCAGTGTTAACAACTTGTACAAAGTGATCGGAAACGTTTTTGGGGTTAATATATGGACGTGCCAACAATTAACATACAGAACTCTGTCACATGCACATGTTTTATTAGTCAAAAGGAATTTCTTGTGGGTCAGCCATGTTAAAAATCTCAAGAAATCTTTTAAGATGCTATTGACTTTTAATATACAACTCTCTACATGAAAGAAGCAAATCAAATCAGTTCAATCAGTGCTGTCTAAGGGCTCTATTCTGCGAGTACTTCTCAGATGCTTGAAGCTGGGCATGTGCTTACATGTGTTGCTCAGTTGGGGCCAGTGCTCAGAACAATGAGAAATTGGGCTTTTAAACACAACCAAGCATTTTCAGAGGAGGCTTTCTGTTGCACTTCTCTTTGCAGCCACTTTGCTAGTGAGGTTTTGCCATAAACAAGCCACAGCTAATATAGACCTTAGTGAAAGGTTTGGGGGCTTTACATTTTCACTGTAATCAGAACTATAGCTATTACATTTCATGAGTTTATGCTAAAAATAGTACATTTTTGTGCCTCTTCTGTGGATAAAAATAATTGATAAATTTAACTGGGAACATTTTAGTCTTGGGTGCTGAATTGCTGGAAGGTTTGATTTACAGCATTTTCATTTCTTTCCAGTCTGAGCATTAATGAAAAAAGCATCAGTTCATGCACATGCATGTTTCACACTATGCACAGGAACTTTCAAAACAGGGAAAAATTCATACCTTTGACATTCGCCAGTTAAACCCTGCAGGGTTGTTCACAGCAGTGCTCAGAAGAAAGAATGTATGCTGTCCCCCTCCAGCCAAAATGGCAAGGGACAGCACATATCAGTCAATACTTTTTTGGCAAAAAGGAGCTTATAAAATGATCTCCTCCAGAACCCAGGTGTTTTGGGTGTGGAATCCTCCCATCTATATTACAATTCAGGTCAGCTCCATCCCACTATGTCCTCCCCAAGGATCTATGGTAGCACATGCTGTCTTACAAGTAGGTATCATGCCCTCAGCATTAGCTCTAATGCTCTCAAAGAAACTTGGAATACAGTCAAGGTGAATTTAATAACCTCCTGTTATCCAAAAAAAGGCAATGTACAGAAAAAAATAAAGATCTCACCTGCACTTGTATCTATTTTCAACTCAGTGTTAACAGAATGTTTTGCTTTAATACTTGAGTTACATTAATACCTCACATTATTACACGTATGAAGCCAAATATGACGCTAACTTAGTTGCTTACAACCTCAAACCTTACTCCCAATACACATTCCAATAAATTTATTCTGTAAAAACAATACATTTTTTTGTTTTGTTTTTGTTTTGTTTTTTTTTTTTTACAGTAAACTCGTCAACTACAAACCTTGAATACGCAAAAGATGTTCCAAGGACAAGCATAACAAGGATTGATAAAACCAGACTAAATATGTTTTCACAATAAAAGCTGGCATAAAAATAAATAAAATTCTCTATTATCACAATAGCAACAATAATGTACACAGAATAATGGTTTTGGAATGCTTACTTACTAGTCTAGTTCTATTTCCAAAAGAAAAAAAAAATCAGAAGAATGACAGGATCCTTTTTTTAAGCCTTTCA